TCTGTTCCGATTTCGGTTGTTAATTATAAAACTAATGAGAGCATTCTAGATAATACAGAGTCTTTATCCAATACACTGTCGGACAGACACAGGATGAACTTGAGAAGAAGACGTACAATTGATTACAGACACTTGGAGTCCAATTAAAGCTGAGGCGGTTGTGGTGTCTGAATGAACTAGTGATTTCTTGGTTGTTGTTGAATGCCTGATTTCGAATTCTAAATGCAGCACATTCTTCCGTGCTTATCTAGTAGTTCTTGATCCACTAACGTTATTTCTGGGATTATTAGTTAATGCAATAATTCAAATGCTCCTAATTATCATAATGGATCATAAAGCTGTCAGGATTATGGTTCCATTCCAGCAGTCACCGCATGAAGCTTCTCTGGATTTTTTCTACTTGTGTCTTGTCTATGACATTCATGTATGAAAAAATAAGTGAGCAATATTCAATTGAGGGCCTTATACACAATTTTAAGAATGCAAACAAAGCCCCATGGGTATAGAAGTTTTCATTAATAAATCCCATTAGCCGTCTAGGTTTAGAGATAATCGAAGAGGCATGTTCTTCAAGTTTTAGGCTTCTGGAGTATTGAATACCCTGATCATGTGCTGGTATGAGTGTCTGAACCCTACATTTTTGTAGGTAGAGTGATATTTCATGGTGATACTTACTGAAATGCATGATGCCACATTTGCTGTGGTTAAAAGGTAGCTGCCATATTTCGCTCTAGGTAGATAAGTTCTCCAGATCACTATGAATCCTGGCCATATTTTCGTCCAGATCTTTGAGCTCATAGCTGTATACCATTTTGAGATTATCAGCATATAAATATGATCTTCCAAACGTTATAGTTTTACATATACCGTTTAAGTACATCAGAAACAAGAATGGACCTAATATAACTGTTAGGCGAATATGAGATTGTTATAAAGTAGGTGTTGTATTACCGCCGCCTCAACTACTTTCTCTATCAGCTTAGATACTACTGAGATAGTGTTTTTTGGTCGGTGATTTTCAACATTCGCTGTAGGCCTACATTTAATTGGGGATATAATATGTGTGATCCTGAGAACTTACAACAACGCACGCAGTAATATGTGTGATTCTCTTACTGTCTACTGCCTGAAAAAGACAATTTTATGGTGTCTCATACCGACATTCTCATTCTAATGTTTAACTCAAAAAGTCTTACTGATTCATCCATGCTATGCTCCCTACATCTTTATTTGGGTAAGTCCGAGTTACTAAAGAACCTCTTGCTATTATCAAGACGTTACAGCTTGAGTATCTACTTACTTCCTTTCTACTTTTTATTGTCCACTTAGAGTGCTGAAAACTTTTTGAGTTTTAGATCAAAACCTTGCATTTCGGCTCACGTTCAAAAAAGAAAATTAGTACATCAACTTTTTGGGATTCCGAAACTTACAAAATGTTGAGAATCGGCTATCATCTATGTCTCATTTTCCGAAACAGACCTAAAGATCACTTACTTCCCTTGCAAAAATCAGAAAACATCAATATTAGGCCCAATTTTCTTATGCTTCACCGTACTTACTTACTTAATTACGCCTGATAACCCCAATGGTGCATAGGCCATCGACCAGTTTTCTTCAGCCTACTATATCCTGTGCTTGCTTTTCCAGTTCTGTCCAATTTTTGTTCACCCATGTCATTTGTTTCTCTATTTCTTGGCTTAATGTGTTCTTTGGCCTTACTCTTTTCATTTTACCTTGATGGTCCCAAGAAAGGACTTGCCTTGTGACACAACTGGATACCTTCCGCAGGGTGTGTCTTGTCCACTTCCAACGCTTTTCTGCGTAGACATATATCAGGGAATACTTGTATCTTCCGGATTATGGGTTTGAAGTTCTCCAAGTTTCCGCTCCATATAGTAGAAGTGTCTTGACATTTGTATTGAAAATTCACATTTGGTGTTGATTGAGAGTTTCTTGGAGTTCCAGATATTTTTCAACTGTAGAAATGCAACCCTTGCTTCGCCTATCCGCTCCTTCACATCTGTATCGGATCCACCTTGGTTGTCGATTATGCTGCCCAGATATGTAAAGCTATTAACGTCCTCCAATTCATTTCCGCCTTTAGCTTTATGTATGTTTAGAGCTGCTGCTGCAGAGGCTGTTGCTACACTGGTCGTCTTCTCTTGAATTTGTTGTTGCATGTGCGATGCAAAAGCCAAATCATCTGCTCAGTCCGAATCGTTCAGCTGCATCCTGGCTGTCCACTCTTCACAGTGCTTCCTTCCAGATGCTGACGTCTTCATAATCCAGTCAGTCACCAGGAGAAACAGAGGGAGACAGTAAGCAACCCTGCCTGACACCGGTCTTCACCTCGAACCACTCTGTCAGCTGTCTTCCGCGCACGATTCTGCAGTCTAATCCATCATAAGAATTCCGTGTGATGTTGGCTATCTTTCCAGGCACGCCATAGTGTCGAAGAAGCCTTCACAGTATTTTCCTGTCCACAACATCAAATGTTTTCTTGTAGTCAATCAAGTTGACGTAGAGTGGTGAGTTCCATTCATTTGATTGTTCCACACTAATCCGTAATGTTGCGATTTGGTCAGTACACGATCGATCCTTACAAAATGCAGCCTGTTGATCTCAAAGTTGGGCGTCTACGAAGTCCTTCATTCTGTTTAACAATACTCTGTTGAAGACTTTGCCTGATATTGAAAGAAGAGTGATCCCTCTGTAGTTCTCACACTTGTTGAGATCGCCTTTCTTTGGTATTTTGCAGTTGCTTCCATGTCTGCATTCATTGCCTCTGCTGGAATGTTGTCCGGTCCTGTTGCTTTGCCGTTCTTGATTTGCCTGATGGCCACGCTAATCTATTCAATTGCTGGTGGGCCAACATCGATTGGGAGGTCCATAAATGCTGCTTCAGTTGACTATGAGACTAGATCTATGCCTAAAAGTCACATTATCCTTACGTTTAACGTTAATGATGTGAATCGGTTCTTTGTGAATTTAGAGTAACGAATGGTAAATGTGCCGAAAACGGGGAGGTTAAACTATACGTAAATGGGTCACTGCCTCATTATCTGTACGATAGTTTTTTTACCAGCCCTCTTTCATAACACAGTGAATTATGTAAGTCTCTTTGTCTGCACGCCTTGCTCTCCTGAGTAGTTACTGGTTACCGTATTTGTAATGTTCTTTTTAAAATAAAGTTAGATGTCATTTACGGTTAAAGATGGTGGCAGTTCGTAAAAATCCTTATCTCTAATGGTAAGATACTGACTGTCTTGGGCAAAACAAATCAGGATTAAAATAACAGCTCATTAATTAATCTAGGAGATTTAATAACCTTTATCTGTGCTTATAGTTACGGAATTGGTGTCTCCAGACAGTCTTTCATGACAATGAAATAAGTAAAGTACATCTTTTCTGCTTATCGTTTGGAAATAGGTGATCAAAATTTTGACCGTAATTTGGTTAGCAAGTGTCTCCTTTATAGGTTTCTTGCCTTCTTACTTGTAAATATAAGTCAGTGAAGAGGCCTGATATTTTAAGTAAGTCATAGAATAGTAATTTACTCTTCTATAGTTAAAGACATTCATTTTCACTTACTATCAACATGTTCTGATTAGCCTGACATTACATGGGATAAAGAATATTCAATCGCTTATGAAGCCATTCAAATTGGAAGACTTGCAATCTTCTTTTGGGACTATCTCATGTACTGAACTTGTGCGTCCAGGTACTTATAAATTATGTAGAAAACTATGAATACGTTTTGTGTCTTAGGTACTAAGGATGTCTGTGTGGCAAACGATTTAGTATGAAGTCTTACATTATTGGTGTATGCCTAAATGGTTGCATTTTTAAGTATGGTTAACAAGTAGAGCCATAAATATGATGATTAAAATTTGGCTCTTTTAATGATTTTAGGGTACACACTAAGCTTGTCAGATAAGGTAACTTGACGCACGAATGGTAAGAGTTTAGGGTGGAGTTCTGAAAGTATACTATCTACCACGAACGAATCACAAAGCAATACTAAAATATGAAACTCGAGTAGACTTGAAAATGAAAAAAATTATAGGTTCTTGGACCGGTTAGCAATGCTTTCTTACCTTTCCATATCGATACAAATAAGAGAAGTAGCTAGTATCTAGTGACACGTTAGTTTTATATAATTTTTAACACATTAACTTCAAAGTTATATTAAATTGCGGTCATATATATTCTTAACGCTCACTGAGATTTATTTCACCCTGTCGATGAATGTAACATGTACACGTTACCTGTCCTCTGGAAATGTAAGCTAGGCACACTAAATAAACCTATTTTCGAAATACTTCCAAATGTAGAACCTTTAACAAAGCACGCCAAGGCCGATGAAAATCTGGTTCACACTACAGGGTGCACTTCTAGATCTAACCATGGATATAAAACGCTGAAATAGAGTGGGAAAATCTTTTTCGGTTGAGAACTACAACATAATGTTAAGTTATTTCAGAGCCATCAACATAAATGCCTTTTTCAAAAAGTCCAACACTCCCTAATCCTGAAGTACTGAAATATCAAGGTCATCGGCACACCATAATTATTCTGCTTCAGCCCTTAACTCTAATTTCTAACTCTAAATCCTAATTCTATTTCCATCCCCCGCTCGAACTTGTTAAATGTGTCCTCCCAAGGTCGTCGTGAGGTTTCTTGAAGGTCGTCCGTACCGTATAAAAATGTACTTATTTGTGCCCAGGAAATACTAACCATCAAATAAATATCATTGTCAATATCCTTATAACGACACGTTGGTGAAACATATCTCATTGCCTCAGAATCCGTTTGTTAGATCCCTGTCCCTTCAAGCCTTTTTGTCCGGATTTTGTTTTTACAATATTAGTCTGGGCGATTTGCCGTTCAAACAAAATCCCTATTTGCACCCAATCTTGGTCGGTTTGGTCCATCCTCTCAAACGAGCATGTGGTTGCTGTGCCCATAAATTGAATTGATTTTGCAGCTTCCAGAGTGCAATGCGTGTAAGGTTCGAATATTTTGTTCGTTTCTTTGGCTTTTTGTCGGTGATAACGGCTTTTACCATGCTATGGAAACTGAAGGATGTCTCATATTTTTCGGAATCTAACAAGTACTCTAAGTTATTAAATAAACTAATATTGTAAATTTTAAGGAGTTTTGACCACAGCCATGGTTCCGATTTCAACGAAAAGCGCTTCAAAAATACAAATAACAGGTAGTTTGAATTCTAAGTGTCATGTATCACTTAAATTTAGTCATGATTTTGACCTTTTCGGTTCAAAGTCTCTTCATTCTATTCAATGTATCGTAAATGGAAGATTAACACATGGATGCTATTTGCTGAAACCGCAAGAAATACTCATCCCATTTGAATTGGTTCGTACTTATTTTAAGGTTTGTTTTATTTTTGCTGTGTGGTTTTCATTTGTTACTTTTAAATGGATTGCAGAAACGTGCAATCTTTTTTCTTAAAATGAATTTCAACTTAGTTGTTGTACATTAGGAGTACGCGTATAACTGCATGAACCAAGTCAGTATGTCTGAAATTATGAGAAAGGCATTGTCACAGTTCACCACTAGTAAAGCAGTCAAATGGTGTAGGTTAAGTTACTTCATAAGTTGCTTTTCATGGATCTTATGACTTCATGGTATTGATAGTTACAGCATCTATGCCGAACTTTTGATGTTCAAGTCGTGCTTTGCTCCTACTTCTGTCGATTTACATCCAAGTAAAAAGATATGGCATGCGTTGAATATATTGCTATTGTGGCACGGATGTTTAAATGATAATTGAGAAACCTAAAGCACATCATTTGTTTAATAGATTGCTTAATATGAAAATTCGAAGGTCTTAACTGATGCAAATCACCAGTCTTAAAAGTAAGTAATCACTGTTATTCGTTTAAACCTCGAGCACTTATTAAGAATTATAACCAAGGGACCATCTATATAATGTTGCTGAATATCAAATAAAATATAAGAAATAAATAAATGTGACCAACAACAATCGTACAGCATTCGTAGAGGAACAGTCCAGACAATGTTCAATATTTCAATACGTCTGTTGTATTTTTTGCTACATGATTCTTTGCAAATTCAGCTCATAATCCTTCTTACAGAGTATACGGTGATAACCACACGTTTTTTTGTTCAGAGAGGAAATAAGAGCACTTCGTCAATATTTTCTCATGATTTAAAGCTTGTCTGGAAAACAAGTGTTGAATAAACTTATTTTCAGTCATCCACAAATCAATATAGTGCATGATGATATAGATTAATCAAGGTAACTGAAAGCATTAAAATGGTCATGACTTTCTAACGACTCAAAGGATTTCTGTGACATTGTGGTTCCTAAGTAAATACTTTTTGAGTCTTGTTTTATAGATAAACTGTTTTTAAATTTGCGTGCTAGGTATGTCAAATGTGTAGACGAACCGTAAAAACCTCATTTTGATGAAAATACAATACGGTTTACGACATGCTTGCGCATTATGAGAAATGTTCTTTGATATTTTCCGGTTAGGTTCTCTAATTTTAATGATTGTATGTCACAAATATCACGAAATGTTTTAGAAATTATGCATATCCAATTACTATAATCATGAAAAGTCTTATTCTAGATTATCGAGGTAATAAAAACGTTTCATAACTTGAAATGCTTTCCATAGATTTGCTATCAGGTCATGCAGATCAGTGTACATTTTCTCTGAACTATTTTAATATCACGCTCAATTGATTTTTATCTGCATAGTTTTATTCATGACAAGTCAACTGATATGTCACACTGAGTACTATTTAAGTCCTTCATCCTTTCTCAACTTATTTTTCAATAGTTTTTGGGCTGATAGTGTTCGAATATTAAATTTGACACTGCAAAGAAAGCTTTTAGGTTTCTGCCTAATGGTAGCAGAACTATGAATATATTTCACGGACAACTAAAGAAACAGTTAGGCGACCATGTAAGCGATTCCTGTCCGGAGGTAGCTTGGAATGATTTCCAAAAAGCTGTAGAAACAGCAGTGATATCTGTTAGTAAAGTAAACCACAAGGTTAGGGAGAAGCAATGTATTTCAGTAGAATCTTTCGAACTGATGGATGCTCGCCGTCTGGCTAGTAGTCAGCTTAGGCTCAGGCTGATAAAAACCTACGCAATAATCGCGAACAGTGGTGGGTAGCGAAAGCGAGAGATCAGTGACAGGCAACAGTAGGCAACTATTCAGACTTATCAGGAGACCGGTATTAGGATTCCGAATGTAAGTGAGACTATCTCAGTAAAAAATGGTCTTATTATTCATTCTCAATCCAGAAGACTGGATCGATGGGCAGAACACTTAAGGGATCAGTTCAACTGGCCATCAGCCACACTTCGGTTGCCCACGATCCCCAGTCATCCAGAATGGCTTTATGAAGTCAAAAAAGTTATAGGAAATCTGAAGCAAGGGAGAGCAGTGGGTGTTGATAGATTGACCTCTGAGATTTTAAAGGATGGTAGTCCAGTTTTAGCAGTTAGACTGACCGAGATCTTAGGTAGAATCTGGGAACTAGGCATAATCCCATCCGACTGGTCTCAATCGCTGATTGTCCCAATTTACAAGAAAGGACAAAAGTCTTCTTGTGACAATCACAGAGGAATCAGCCTAACTAATATTGGCCTCGATAATACTCTGACGCTTAACGGAAGCTCGTGAGGAGCAGGTTGAGTAAAGCAGGCTTGTTTTCGACCTGGACGTGCCTGTATAGACCAAATATTCGCACTACGTCAGGTCCTACAGCAAAGATACACGTTCAGAAAATTCGGAATAGTAGTATTTCCCGACCTTAAGCTAGCATTTGACTCTGTCGATCGAGAGGTATTGTGGCAGTGTCTGTCGTTAAAAGGAGTACCAGAGAAGTACATTGACCTTACACAGCCTTATAGTAAGTCGAAATAAATATATTTCTTCGCGCGATTACTAAGGTAAATCGCGATAATCCAGAAGTCAAAGAAACGATTATTCTGGATGAAGAAGTATATTTATTGCTAGCCTCGTGCTATCGAAATAATGACGAGACTAGGGTTCAGGAGTGGCTAACAACGAGCTAGGAGAAGAGCGGAGTAGGAAAAACACGCTTGGTGCGCGAGAGATAGTCTTTTTCACAGATAAAAAAAGGAGTACAATATAGCAATTATTGTCAGAATTAAGTACAATAATAAATGTTAATATTTCAGCAATTGTGTTAACTTCGTAAAACTATACCACTACAGGCTCTCTACTCGAACACTGCAGGTCGAGTTAGAGCTTATGGCGAACTGTCATCGGAATCGGTTACTTCAAGTGGTGTCCGTCAGGGATGTCCACTTTCTCCATTCTTGTTTAATTTTACAGGAGTGGACCTACCCGGAGATTCGCTGGTTGACAGTTCTACTTGATGAAGACGCTGACAATATGCAGTCTTCTGACTGCCTCAAGCAATAATGAAAGCATGTTCGGGATGCGGTTTTCCCCCTCGAAATGCGAAATGTTGCTTCAAGAATGGGTTGCATCGGCACCTGAAATAGTGACAGGATGTGGGGTAATCGAGCGTGTCGACCACTTCACTTGTGTTGGGGATTTCGTCAGTGCTGATGGCCTGTTGACTGAAGAAGTCTCAACATGGATAGAGAAAGCTCGATTGGCTTTTGTCAACTTGCGTTACTTATGTAGTAGGCGAGATATCCGTCTATCAACCAGATGACGGGTTTACTGCGCAGCAGTTAGTTCCGTCCTACTATATGGGTGTGAAACATAGCCAGTCAGAGTAGATCATATTCGTAGGTTGCTTGTTTTCGATCATAGGTGTCTCCGAAGCATTGCTCATGTATTCTGGATAACCGAGTAAGCAATGCTGTCGTCGGGAAACGAGTGCTAGGTAAGGATGACAGATCAATAGATGAAATTTTGAAACTTTTTCAGTTGAGGTGGTTAGGACATGTATTGCTTATGCCTTACCACCATCTCCCTCGTCGAGCTATGTTTTTTGATATAGGAATAGGTTGGTAGTAAGCTAGGGCTGGGCAGACCTGAACATTGCAGAAATCCATGAAGTCACTGGCAAGTGGACTGAGTCATGTTGGCAGGTGTCGATTACCTGGTTGGGGTCCGCGAGACGTAAGTCACCGATGGTTAGAGACCTTGATCGACGTTGCTCAAAATCGTTTGCCATGGCGCAGGTGCATCCACTCTTTGTGTTCTCTCAAATCCTAGTCTCCAGAATTCCTCATCATCTCTATCTTTCTCCTTCTAAATTTATCTCAATTATACTTCTTGATTAATATCTTCGATCCATAATATTCTCCATTACCAGTAATTCTTCTGCTATCTACACCACCATTGGATTTAAACTGACAGTGTTGTCTGTGTGCTAATGTGACATGGCAACCTAAACTGACGTTCTTCGTTGTATTTGACTGACTGACTGAATATTAAATTTAGATTTTTGATGAATTCTTATTCGGTCTTCCTAAGATACTGCCTAGAAGTCTGAAAACAATGAAGCATGTACCTACTACCCCCTTTCATTCGGTGTAGTTGTTCGACGATTAATAAATATTGGTCAATATTGCTTTTGAAAATTACTTCGTACATTAGTAAAGTAGATTGTTTCCATATCTAGGTTTATGGTACCCTTGATTTGTCGTCTAGCACATTTTATTTGGATCATGCCAATGTTGACGTCCCGAAACCATATTTGCATAGACATAATCCTGTTGGTGTATATATGCAGTTTCATAAATCCAATGTAGAAAAAAGAGATAATGTGAAACTAATCGTTGCAGATGAAGGTATGCTACAGCTTTTAATTGTGTTTAGTGTAGATTTTCCTTTTTATATGATCACACTTCAGGATAATTATCATTCTTAGTGCTCAAAATAAACAATGTTGTTATTTAATAAGTTTGAATCTTTCTAGTAACTCAACTGATTTCAGTCCATGATATGAAAATAATCTTCAGATCTTTTTATTTGAAAAATTGAACAATAACTGGAATTTAATATAAACAATACACAGTTCTTGCATGATAAAGCCACTATATACTAGTTAACTATGAATGGATTATCGTCATTCTCTGTTCCTCTCCGAAAACTGATGGACACAAATTCGTGTTTTCAGGTTGAAAATCATGATGTAGTTTAATGTTAAACAAGCTAAAATGCAAAATATGGGAAGTTTAAAACGATAATCGGTCAGAAGTTTTCTAGACGCAGATTAACGAACGCATTTGAACATACATTCTTTGGAGGATGCGCATTCCCTGTACAAAACTTATGTAAAAGGAAATCAATATCGGTGAAGATGAATTGCCTTACTTTAAATTATTCAATACAAACTCCGCATATAGACTTCCAATACATCTTTATTATGGTTTTTGTTTAGTGGTAAATGCTTGATTCATGAGTTCTAATGATTGTAATTGATATATAATTAGTTAACTTAGATGTACTTTCATCAACTACACTGGGGTCATCATTAATAACTGATCTTTTTATTCAAGTTAACGGGACACGGAAGAAGAGGACAGTAGTTTCATCAAGGTTAGAGTTGCAAAGTACTAGAACAAGGCATGAATGTGTCAGTTTTCTTTTTTAAAAATTCAAGCCATTCCTATACATTTGTTACATATTGTAACTCAAGACTTAACGTAATTACTGTTCACTGCTATCCATCTTATAATCTTGACACAACCCTCAACTATTAATAATACAAAGTCTAACCAGCGAATATGAAGAATGTATTTTATAAAATGAGCCACTTTCTACACAGATTTTCTCTGCAGCAACTATTACATCTAACTAATCACAAACTGTAAACGAATTGTACACTGAACATATGTCAAAACTGGGTCGTTACATAGCAGAAATGATCAAAATCATGTAGAATAAAATACCAAAATAACTTATAATCTAATTTTTTAAAATCTAATGAAATTTCAAAGTGAACGATTCTCATTGATTTAGTTTATAGTCCTACTGTTGGCTGCTTTGTATCCCCTCCCAAAAGAGTTGTAAGATTTCGTTTTTGAGTCAATCTTTGATAACTTCGGTCTTCATTTTCATGATGCCTTTCTTAAAGTCTTGTTCCGGTGCCAGCAAATTAGATATTTCATTTATTTGAAACAATGTGATAAAGTAATAATGATAATAATTATTTATGTCATTACAATATGCAAGTATACTTCGTTTGTTGTGTGTTTGCATAGCTGATGCATCAAGCCATTTTTGAATACTAATTTTCTTATACCCATCCAAAATAGTTCGAATATGTTAGGCAAGCTAAATACTTGTAGAACAAGTGTAATTCATATATTACAGTGAGTTTTCTGTAATGCATGTTTCCGACAAATCATTTCATGCATTATCTTCTCAAAATATCGAATCATAATTTATTTGTTTACTATGAAATGCAAACAATGCATGTCTGCCAGGAGTTCCTATAAGCCAACAATGGGATCCTCGCGGTTATCCGTATCCAATTCAAATAGCACAGTTTGGCCTAAGTCATTTCAGTCAATTAGTGCTATTAGCTGATCAAGCTAAATTTGAAAATGTACAAAATGTTTTATCGTTGGACGATACAACTATGGAGTTAGATCTTATTGTTCCCAGTAATAATGTTATTCATAATTGGACTGATAGCAAGCATATATATGAATGGAATAATAAACTTACATTATCAGGTATGCTAATCATTTAATTGAAACTGTCAAATTTTAACTGTATACACGTTAAATATGTCTTTTTTTATGAAGTTGATATACTGAATAAAACTAAGCCTCATAATCAAGTTTTAACTCTCTTAACATGTGATTGCTGTACAAAATCCTTATCTTCAAATTATTTATGACATTTAATTTTGTTGCTGTTACTAGGCGTGTTGTTTTATCATATGTAAAACTTATTATTCCGACCAATGGTCTTTTTAGTGTCACTTCATTCAGGAGTTTGTCAGTGATTCTGTTTCACCAGAAGCCGTCACTCTGTTACATCGTATTATTGCATGTCATCCACTGATTGGCTTTCTATAGATTTATTTTAACAACTTAAAACCCGTTCATCCAACCCTAAAGTCCTAACCTATAACGGGAATAATGTGCTTGTCTGTAATAGAAATCTCTCATTTTAAGATATTAGCAAATACGTGTTTTTTATTAGCTCATGATAGTTTTCACCACAAACTGATGATCTCATCAACCAGGAAACCTAAACTAACTAAAGAGTTGTTATTTACCTAAGTTAATTTTATAGCCGATTTGTTGTAGGAATGAATTTTCAATTGGACCCTCAATTCTAACAGTGAGCATGCTATGCTATAAATGAAGACAGATACTTTTGTATTACGTCATTTCACGAATATAAACATAAGGCTCTTATTAGGTTTTTGCATATAGACAACTATCTTAAAGCATTTTATTCAAAAATTTTGGCGATAATTGTCCACTTGACAGAAAGAGAAAAATGTGTTGCTAATAATAACTGAATAGTAATTATAAAAAGTTGGAAGTCAGTCAGTCATTTACAACGTAGAACTACGTCCGTCAGTCAGTCAGTCAGTTGCAACGTAGAACTTCGTACGTAAGTACATCAGTTCATGTCGCCATACCACATCAGCACAGAGATATAATTGTCAATTCAAATCCAATAGTAGAAGAGGTAGTAAAGGTATTAGAAGTAATCGGAGAGGTTAGGATGAGAAGATATTATTCAACAAGTATGATTCAGTGAGATAAGTTTAGAAAATCAAAATTAGAGTTGTTGACGAATCCAGAAGATTAGGATTTGAGAGAACACAAAGAATAAATGCACCGGCGCCATTGCGAACGATTTTGAGCCATGTCACTCAAGGTCTCTAACCATCGACTATTATCATCTCGCGGACCCCAACCAGGTAGTCGAAAATTACCGACATGGCTAAGTCCACTCGTCAATGACTTCATGGATCTGTGCCATGTTTTGGTTTGGCCGCCCCTAACTTTCTTCCAACCTATTCCTACACTACAAAACAAAGCTCGACGAGGCAGTCGGTGGTTGGGCATACGCAACACATGTCCCAACCACCTCAACTGATGAAGTTTCAGTACTTCATCTATTGATCTGCCATTCTTACCTAGCACCCGATTCCTAATAACAGCGTTGCTCACTCGGGTGTCCCACGATATACGAGCAATGCTTTGCAGACATCGATGATCGAAAACCAGTAACCTACGAACATCTACTCTTAACGGCCATGTTTCGCATCCATATAGGAGAACAGAGCGAACTGCTGCACAGTGCACCCGTCCTTCGGTTAGCGAACGGATATCGCGCCTACGCCATAAGTGACGCAGGTTGGCAAAAGCCAATCGAGCTTTCTGTATCCGTGCTGAGATTTCGTCAGTCACTAGGCTATCAGCACTGATGAGACTCCCCAGATAAGTGAAGTGATCAACATTCTCGACTACTTCACTCCCTATCACTAGTTCAGGTGCCGATGCAACCCAGTCTTGAAACAACATTTTGTATTTCGAAGGGGGAAAACCGCATCCCGAACATGCTCGCATTGTTGCTTATGGTAGTCAGAAGACTCTGCATTTTGTCAGCGTCTTCACCAAGTAGGACTGTGTCATTGGCATATTCTAGGTCAATTAGCGAGCCACCTGGTAATAGGTCTACTCCTGAAAATTCAGACGAGGATGAGGTTATTTCTAGGAGCATGTCTATGATAAAATTAAACGAGAATGGAGAAAGTGGACATCCCTGACGGACACCACTTGAAGTGAAGAATTCCTGTGACAGTTCGACATAAGCTCTCACTCGACGAGTGGTGTTCGAGTAGAGAGCTTGTATAAGGTTAATGTACTTCTTTGGTACACCTTTCAATGACAGGCACTGCCACGGAACCTCACGATCCACTGAGTCAAATGCCGCTTTTAGGTCCAGGAAGACGACTGTTGTAAGACGACTAAATGTGTGTCTGTGTTCCAGGACCTGTCGTAATGTGAAGATGTGGTCTATACAACCACGTCCAGGTCGAAAACCAGCCTGGTTTTCTCGAGTTTGCTCTTCACGAGCTTTCATTAAGCGTCAAAGTATTATTGAGGCCAATATTTTAGATACTATATTAGTTAGACTTATTCCCCTGTGCTTGTCACAAGAGGACTTTTGTCCTTTCTTATAGATTGGGACAATCAGTGATTGAGACCAGTCGGATGGGATTACGTCCAGTTCTCAGATTCTGCCTAAGATCTCAGTCAACCTAGCTGCTAAAACTGGACCACCATCCTTAAATATCTCAGGGGTCAGTCTATCAGGACCTGCAGCTCGCCCTCGCTTCAGATTTCCTAACGCTTTTTCAACTTCATTAAGACTAGGGGGACTTAGGTCGATTTGCCATTCAGGATGACTGGAGGTCGTGGGCAACCGAAGAGTGGCTCGAGGCCAGTTGAACTGATCCCTAAAGTGTTCTGCCCATCGATCCAGTCTCCTGGATTGAGAATGGATAATAAGACCATCCTTTTCCGAGATAGTCTCACTCACATTCGAGTTCTTAATACCAGTTTCTTTAATAAGTCGGAAAAGTTGTCTGGTGTTGCCGATCGCCGCTGTCTTTTCCATCGCTTTTGCTTTCGCCACCCACCACTGTTCGCGATCGTTACGTAGGCTTTTTATAAGTCTGCGCCTAAGTTGACTTCGTTCTTCATCATGTTCAGAGCCAGGTGGGATGAGTTTTCGAGCATCCATCAGATCGGTGGATGCTACTGAGATCCACGGCTTCATTCTAGCCTTATGGTCAACCTTACTAGCAGATATCACTGCTGTTTCCACAGCCTTTTTGATATCATTCCATCCTGCTTCCGGATGGGAATCGCTTAAATGGTCGCCTAACTGTCTTTCTAGTTGTTCCTGAAATATATTCTTCGCCTTATTATCATTAAGTAAAACCCTAAGGGGATTTCTTACGGTGTCTTTCCTACGCCCAGTAAGCTTCAAACAAATACGCGCTCGCACTAGGGCATGATCTGAATCCAAACATGTGGCCCAGAACGAGCGACAGTTTTCTATCGAACCCCTCCATCGGTGGCTGATGGCGATGTGATCTAGTTGCGTCCAACGTTGGGACGACTTTGGAGGTCGCCAGGTCAACAGATGCTTTTCCTTATGCCTAAAGTTAGTGTTTGCTAAGAATAGGCGGTTGATTTGATCTTGACCAATTTGGTCTCGTGTGCTGCTGAGTTGTTATCACTTCCCGGCTGCCCACACCGTGGAAGGTTGTTTCTTGAGGAACCTGAAAAGGAAGATGGATTAGTGTTGGTCTTAGAGACCTGGGTGCGTGACCGCAGAGCCCAATGGACAACTGCTTGAGGCCGGTCACGCGCGGCATTTTTATGAAACGTTTTTTGAGGATTAGCTCCGTTCTTAAAGGCCCTTAGTGGGCACCCTTACTCAAGGAGACGGAAATCCGTGAGTTAGGGGAGGTGTGACATTTTTAGGGCCGACCTTTTCTAACCCTTCTTTCCTTGTGAGAAGGCAGCATCGCCGCAGATGCTGGTTGTCCTAAGGAAACACCTTACTGCTTTCACACCTCTCTGCAGTCAGCAGTACGACTTCGCCCTCAGACCTTGGGTAGCTGCTTTTAGTCTCATCGTTCTCAAATCGACCTGCCTGGCATGGTAGGACCTGCAGGAACATATGTTCCAGCCAGTATAGCTCGGTTGGGTCATCATGATAGGCAAGCCCGACCACCACGTCAGGGTAGCAGCTACGGTCGGGAACTACGTCCGTACATACATCACTTCAAGTTGCCATGCTACATTAGCACAGAGACGCAGTTTTCAATTCAAATCCCATAGTAGTAGAGGTAGTAGAAGTATTAGCAGTAACGGTGAAGATTAGGGTTCGAAGACATTACTCAAGAGGTACAATCCAGTTAAATAATTGACGCAAGTTGGTAAAAACCGGTTGAGCATTCTGTATCCGTGCTGATATTTCGTCAGTCACCAGACCACCAGCGCTGATGAGACGCCCAATATAAGTAAGGCCGTCAACACGCTCAACTAGTTACCATAAAAAGGCCGTGCGTGACCGACCTCACACATTTGTCCCTTGGGTTCTGTGATCATGCTCCCAGGTCGCTCAGACCAATGGTAACTCTATTTCCTTTTCAGGTTCCTCAAGAAGTACCGTTTCACGGTGTGGGTAACCGGGAAGTAACACCCTCCCTCATACCTGTAACAGCACACAAGACCAAATCGGTCACAATAAAATCCTTCTTACACACCACAACATCTCTCTTATCTCCACGACTCACTCTTCTCATATCTCTTTATCACCCTTCACTGCTAATGAAAACGATTTGAGTTCACGAAACGTTATTCCCAGTCTCTTGAAACCTCGTTCTTAACTAACTATGAAAGCTTTTAATGTCCGGACATTATATCAAATAGAACAACAAGCTTCCTTAGCTAGGCCTTTAGAATCTCGCGCCATCGATATATGCTGAGTCTCCGAAATACTTACACAGGGTCTGAGTACAGTGATTAAATTGACCTCACCTTGTCCAAATAAAGAATCAACTCGGTTTACGCTTCATGTTTCTGGAAGCCATTCTGCTGCTTCCCATGGCCTCACTGGTGTAGGTATAGCATTAAGTCCTAGGGCAGAACTAGCTCTCTTAGACTGGATCCCAGTAAATAGTTGCTTGTGCGCTGTCCCACTAACTAGGACAATAAGGACTCGAAAAGATAGGGACGCTCGCCGTTGCCTCTTATTAGGATCTGCTTATGCAGTCCAGACGAGATGAAAGATGAGTTTCACAGAAAGCTTTCAGTCCTCAAGAAAGTTAGGCGCTCTGATATAGTAACAGTGACTGGTGACTTCAATGCTCAAGTAGTTAGACTCAGTCAGCCGGTTACAACGGAGAAATTCGTACGTACGTACATCAGTTCAGGTTGCCATGCCACATTAGCACGGAGACGCAATTGTCAATTCAAATCCCATAGTAGTAGAGATAGTAGTAGTATTAGCAATAATTAAAGAGATTAGTGTTCGAAGATACTACTTAAGAGGTATAATCTGGTGAAATAAACTTAGAAAAAGGAAGATAAAGGTTGATGAAGAATCCGGAGGATAGAGATTTAGAGGACACAAAGAATGGATGCACGTGCGCCATTGCAAGCACTTTTGAGCCATGTCATTCAGGGTTTCTAACCATCGATTATTATCATCTCGCGGGCCCCAACCACGTAGTCGACACCTGCCAACATGATCCAGTCCACTTGTCAGTGACTTCATGAATTTGTGCCATGTTTTGGCTTGGTCGCCTCTAGCTTTCTTCCAACCTACTTCTACATCACAAAACAGTTCATCGAGGCAGTCGGTGATTGGCATTCGTAATACATGCCCCGACCACCTCAACTGAAGTTTCATTACATCATCTGTTGATTTGCCGTCCTTACGCAATACCCTTTTCCTAACAACAACATTGTTTACTTGACGGTCTCCGGATATACGATCGATGCTTCCAAGACACCTTTGATCGAATACTTATCGCCTACGAATATACTCAACACTAACTGTCCACGTTTCACAACCATAGAGTAGAGCGAAGCAAACAGCTGCGCAATAAACCCGGTTCATAGACGGATAAGTCGCTTACTCCATAATTGACGCAAGTTGGCAGAAGCCAATCGAGCCTTCTGTATCCGTGCTGAGAGTTTTTCAGACACCAGGCTATAGGCACTGATGAGACTCCCAACATAAGTGAAGCGGTGAACACTCTCGACTACTCCACTCCATATCACTAGTTTAGGTGGTAAGGAGAGACACCTCAGTGGATCTTATGGTATTGTGGATGTTCGAATTGATAATGACGACCGTCTGCTGCAGCTATGCTCTTATAAGCGCCTATTCCTAGCAAATTCTAATTTTATGCATCAGGAAAAACATCTTTTGACATGGCAACCTGACTGACTGTTACACCACCTATAACATGAGTATGTGCGACTTTGTGCAGTCCGGACATTTCTTGTAATTTGTTTTTTATTTCTCTTGACTGTTCATCAGTTGTTATTACCATCCCAATTTTATCCATGATTTGAATATAGTGTGAAGTTTTTGTAAAATGCATGGTTTCCAACGAAATCATGATGAAAGTTTATTAGCCCTGATAATAGTAGTAATAATGGTAATAATAATGATGATTTTAATAAAAACCTGTCCTCGTCTACACAAATATGAATTTAAAGGCAGAACTAACTATTACATTACGTGAATAAATGGTTGTGCTGACCAATGTATTCTTGTTTACTTGCATACGCAAATGCTTATTTTTACTGAAACGTATGAAATATAGCTGAAACTCCACTACACTTAACTTGTCTATGTTGGCGACTACATTTCAGAATAAATGGATTCACTCTTTCATAATTTTTAATCCTTTTTATACTGTGTATGAATAGCATATCAGTTCATTCACGAATTCTGTGGTTACGGCAGGGCTACATTTGTCCAATTTATTCTGTCATAGCTAATAAACTAAACTCCAATGGTCAAGCATTGTCAATAACACCAAAACTTCAGCAGTGGGATTATCTCATCATGATTGGTCGTCAATGGACATATGGAAGCTCTGTTGAATTATCAGTTTTATGGTATCCTCCAGTAACAGTTGGAAGTTATAACAATTATCCTGCAAAAAGTCTAATTGTATACAATTGTTCAAAGTCTCCCAGTGCATATGTCAGTTTGGTATATATTTATATTGTAAATCAATAAAATGTTTCTATAAACAACAGTAGTAATTGTAACGAAATATATCAGAGTAGAAAATATGCTTAATGTTTCAATGTGATAAATGAATGTCATTCGTCCATGATCTAATCATCTTTTATCATCTGATTGATATCATTAGATGAACTATTATTTTGTCATGAAAGAAGGCACAAAATACCCCATAATTAAAAACTATCTCATTTAATGATTAGGAATGCCTGATTTTTAAGTCAGTCATAACCGGTGTGAACTTAGCACAGAAATCCCCTAACCTAACAACAAGATAAAAATAACCGTATGATTAGCTGAGGAATCAAAGCATTCTTAGTGACTGTGATAGTAAGAAAGGACAAAGTCCGAGAAATTATTTGAGCGTGATATAATGTAAAGATTCAAGTCACGGCATAATGGAAATCAATATGTGTGTGAAAATAAAAGCATAAATATATTTCCAACGCTGACCGATTAGAAACTTAGTCAACCGATGTTTGTAGATACGAACTGGTATTAGTTATATATTATTTTTCAAAGAAAGCCTTTTGAACTGCTTGCCTACCATGGAATAATCAAACGTTGCTCACACAAATTGTACCCTGATTAGCTTATTCCAAAATATACCAAAAGCATGTGTAAATGCTAACACACTTTTCAGTGTAGCATTGTCAGTTTTGTCGAAGAATAAACGTTGTTTCCTTTTATCTTCTCAGTAGTGTGAGGACGGGTTCAAGAGTTATTCGGGGCATAGTCTAAGATCAGTTGAAAAGTGTTGCTCTACATCACCCTTTAATTTACTACTTCGTTAAGATTCAATTGCATAGCTAGATAGATGCTAGTCATATCAGTTAGTTACTGTTCTACTCTTGACATGATCAACTCAAGCATTAGTAACACAGCTAGTTCCTAGATAACTTATTTCATGGCGCATCACTTTTTCTATTTTTCAGCAAACCTATTCTACTATTCATAAAAACAGAGTCACATATTGGATGCCCAAATGTGAAAAACAAGCCAAGACATATGGTTTTGCTGATAGTATTATGTTAGCACGTGATATTCACAGTGATTTAGTGAAAGCATTCCATCCACATCGAAGGTTATCGGAATATGCTGGTTGGACTGGTATGAAACTAATGAATACTGTCAATGATACTCAAAATTCGTCGTAAGTATTTGGAATTTTTTGTGTGAACCACGATTCTGTGGTTCACGGTGGAACTATTTCAAAATTTGTTTATTTTATTATAGTAATTATGAGCACTAAAATATTTTGATATGATGTTCAATGTTCCCGACCATACACATATGACGTCGCCTACGTTTTCTCTTGTTATTATATAACTTGACATTTTTCTTTCCCGAATGGCTGTTAAGTGAATGAATTTCAAATTCAATAATTTGAGGATAGTGTAACATTATTCTACTAAGTAAAGCTTATATGTGTTAGATGGTTGGAGATAGTCGAAAGAAATTTCTGGACTTATGTTTCGGGTTAGTCGGCGACCATCAGCATGGCATATTTTCAATCGTACCGGAACTAATAGTTTGTCATCTAGCAGCATCATAACATAGTGCACGGAATATCGAGTCATTCAAACAAGTGGCAACATTGCAACTTAATCCATGAAATCCTATCAACACGAAACGATTGAACAAACATGATATTAGTCACTACTCTGTCATACAACAATCCTGCAGATATTTTGTGTTAGCTCTGACACCCTACAACGTTTTTATGACCACTACTGAACACACTTGAATGCCCAAAGCTTAAAAATTGAAATCGAGTCAAAGACTCAGTGCTTCGACCACTATGCTTTGTCGCTTCTAAAGATACTGTTATGAAAGTTGAATGGCCCGTTAGTTTTCAAGAACACCAACAAACGCTCCTATAGACTGGATTAATCATTGATTTCGAACAGCACTCATAAATCGTCCGCAAATTTTCTTGTATTTCTAACAGTAAATCTTTAAGCTTTCGTTATCGATTGGTCCATTGTTACTTGTTGAGAAACTCGATATTTTTCTAAGGCTTTATCTGAATCAGTCAAACTAGAACAATTATTGAAATCAGTATTTCAAACCTCAGACACTAGGTACTCAATTGTGTACCGATTTCCTCCATATATATTCATGCATGTGTGTTTTCTTTGTAATCATCAGTGTTCGAAGAAGGAAATGAATTTATTCGGTGTTCGGAATCTTTCCAATTAGTGTGAACTAGAGGTAAAATATTCCTACTGATTATGAGAATTTGTACTGTTGGTCGTTGACTTAATAAATCGAATAGTTAAATAATCGACTATTGATATTTTTGTACATGAATCGGCTATTCATTCGTCGTTTATCCACAATATGTCATGTTATTTTCGAAACCAAAGTTGATAACCATATTGATGTGCTGTTGGTAACATGGCTTTCCTTTGCTCTTAGTATGCTAAACGTGAACCAACTAAATGATCACTATACTATAATGTATGTCGTTGGTCATCATAAGTAATACGCAGAGCAGTGACTTGATCGACTAGAGTACGAATGATAGATGAAATTACCATTTATTTGTGTATTTGAGCGCACATTACTACAAATGCGTGCGAAAATACACATGCACTACAAATAGTCTTTTCTCTGTGTAGACTTGGATACTGTCCGGGTGATCAAACTGGAGTGCTTGGACTTTTCAGAAAGCCATTCCTAGAGCCATCATTCTGGGTGTCCGATCGACAAGGTAGTGGAGCAACGTCAAGAGATGCAGTTACACTGTAGCCGGTGACCAACAATAGTTTCATACACCATTTTCTCCCTCAAAATCACACAGCTCGTGTACACCGTTGGTTTGGAGTCACGGTTTTCCAACTCCCTTAGGTGAATCCTCTGTACACCGAACATTCGCTTCTCGCACTCTTGATTTCGTAAACAACACCCCCACCATGAGAAGGTAGAAAACATGACTTCCCTGGTAGTGGCCTATATGCACGCGACCACATGACAGCGTTTCTCGGAGAGCAAACTCCCCCCACTTTCGGTCGAACTAGGACATCTCATTTCTCTAAACGCCTTCGAAATGTAATCACATCGTTCAGAGTATTTATATGATTTAGTCAATAAGTCATATCTGTTGACTATAAATGCTTATTCATCTGATATTATTGATGCGTTCACATAGTAATTTACCGAATAATCGATACGAAAACTAATGAGTTAAAATCCACCAATCTGACAGTAAAGAAATCACACAAAAGTCGGTATATTCATACATTGTTTTGATTTATTTCTGGGCTCAAACAAACCCGAACTAGCAGTCTATGTCCTAACTACAAATTGTCGGATTCTATTTTTTCAGTATCAAGCATCAGTCAGATAGGCATTCCTCAGTCATGACAGCTCAAACAGAACAATCCGAATTCGATTTCCAATCTTCGGAACACAAGTCTCAATCGTATCCCATCGACAACGGTGTAAGCAGTCGAGTATTATCATTGGTTCCTACATAGTAGGTATACCTATTCATTGATTCGCATAATTATTTATTTACATCACTCGAAATTTATCGACCGCCTGCATGTGGACAATAAATAAACATTTTGATTACTCAAATAGTATTGTAATATATTTCTAAGTCCGGTATTTTGAAAATGCGGCTTATTTACTCATATATTAAATGTAAGCACTTGTGTACTGGCCTTAGCTATACTTTTATGTCAGGGATAATGATGCTGACTTATTGCCCAAACTGAAGTAGAATAGTGTTGGGATTTGATAGGAGGAGTAACTTACAGTTTAAAGCATGGTGTTCTGACGACAAGGCTGTATGAACATACTGTTCGTTTAATTGAAATCTTTGCCATTCAAAACATTTTTTTTCATGAAGGCAACTACACAGAGTTTGTTATCGTTTCTTTAGCAAGTTTGACACCTCACAGTTTTCTCTTAACAGTGAACATGCATTTAAGAACATATAAATACTTTTTAACGTTCATTACGATATGTTTGGTTTACGAATGTAAAGAGTGCCGGCATATAAACTTATGCCTTTCACTGTTGTCGCTACAACTGTT